TTACGAACGCTTCGTTCAATCAATTTCAAAGTGTTACTACATATTTTTTAAATAATCAACAACCGTCACACTGATATTGGTGATTTTTCGGGCTTTTAGACCGTCGTGAAAAAGAATTTTTGAAATTCCTACGCTTGTTAAAACATATTTGGAAAAATCCTTTTTCACGGCGGCCTAAAAGCTTGGAAAAATCCCAGGCTTCACTCAATGGCCTTACAGGAAGCTAAAAAAATGGTTGAAAACTCTTCTTACTTTTTGGAGAACGTCTGATTGCTTTGCAAGAGGTCTTATCCAGACTCTGTAAGTCTCGCGAAATTTTAACAGGAATCGAAAAACTTTCAAATGCTCGCATAAAAGAATTTTTAACAGCCGAAATTAGCAAAAAACAATGATAACTTATTATCATCAACTAGATGATAAGAGAAATCAACTGCTTCAATCTAAATTAAGGCCAAAAATTTGACTTATTGGTTCAAAACTCGAAAGCGGACTAATTTTAAACTAAGATTCAGATAATAAATCGGACAGGAAGTTGCATTTTCCATTGTTCCAAAAATTAGCCGGCATTTATCTATATTCTGTGCATAAAAGCAATATTCTCCCGCAGCGGAAAAGGGAAAAACTCGACAGAGAATCGCCTTCGGTTGGCAGTGGGTAGAGATAGAGGATGGGCATTTGCGTGAGCAAGAAAAAGAACAAGAAGATGGTAGATTGGTAGGTCCGACCATCAATTTTCCATACTATGGCTATTGCTGGGTTAAACTACATAATGACCTTCAGAATCCCGGTCGGTCTTGACATATTTTAAAAGTTTTTATTGACTCGGCGTAAATCTTCGGAATTGGAGAAACTGTTCGGCCTCCATTTTCAACAGTTTCGTCACCGTTCATTTCTTCATTATCAGCAGCACAGTAATAGCATGCCAATTTTCTCCAGATTAAAAAAAACCGACTCATTAACAAAATGCTCCGGCGCCCATGTAAACTGCTGCTTCAAAAGCGTGCCAATTTAGCTCAGATTTCTGCCCTAAAATGAAATTGTCTGCGTATTGACATCAAAGTTTTCCCTTTTCAAGGAAGTGATCATCTCTGTATAGTTGAAGCTCTACAGGCAGGAAGAGTGGAGTTTGCTCTTTTCAGTGGAGTGGCAACTGCTTTTGTATTTGACTCAGTTTTTGAAAAACAGCTGCCCAAATAATAAATCTGTTGGGGCACGTGGGAAGTAGCTCTTCAAAAAAACAATATTCACCAAATTGTATCTTACTAAATGTTGCAAAATAAATTTTCACTTTTGAATGATTCCAGAGGCGCTCTTCAGTCTTTATTGGTTTTTGCACAACAAATTTTTGAAAAGACCGACTTATCTACGAAATGCACTGGAGTTCGTGGCAAGTGACCGTTCAAAATCTTGCAATCTTTCCCCAAATTTTTTCAGAAATATGAAACGTTTTAGATATTCTGATTTATTTTCCTGACTGCGTGTACTTGTTATGATATTCCTATCTTTCCTGGGTCTCAGTCAAAGTGTGTAGTAAAAATTTTAAAACATCGTTTACTTCATTACGTCTCGGCGAGACAACAGCGCCATCATCAGATTTAAAATTTACACAAACGACAAACACCAATTCACAATTAAAACATGTTGTATATAAATTATAATTTACAAAGTGCAGGGCAAAGACCCCCTCACAAGGGCAAAGACCTAAAAGGACTGATTTTTACCAATCTTGAGGTAAGTTTTTCCTGTGTTTTGCTCTCCCAAAGAGAATAATTTATTCCCTCAAAAACTGATGAATGTTTTAACACTTTGTAAATTATAATTTTCATACAACATGTTTTAATTGTGAATTGGTGTTTATAGTTTGTGTAAATTTTAAATCTGATGATGGCGCTGTTGTCTCGTCGAAACGTAATGAAATAAACGATGTTTCAAAATTTTTACTTCACACTTTGACTGAGACCCAGGAAAGATAGGTTCTATAGGACAAGTTCTAGATATTGAAGCGAAAGTTTCTCGTTTTCAATGAACAATGGGTTTTAAGTTTCGTACGGTTTTTGCGAAATAAGGTTTTTAAAAGAGCCTACTTATCTGCGAAATATATTGGAACGAATGACAGGCAGCACTTCAAAAGCTTGCAAATTTTCTCCAGCTTTTTTTCCATAAATTACACTTGACGGGACATTGAAACCAGAGTTTTCACTTTTCAATAAATGTACCCGAACTTTTCAGTCTAGTCTGGTTTTTGCAAAATAATCTTTTTTAAAAACCGACTTATGTACGAAATGCTCTGGCGCCCATGTCAAGTGCTGCTTCAAAAGTCTGCCAATTTTTTTTCAAAAATTAAACTTTCTGTGCATCGAAACCAAAGTATTCTCTTTTCAATGGACCGACAGGAGCTTTTCAGTTCATCCGGCTTATTGCAATAAACATTGAAAAAAAATGTAGATGAATGGGTCTTGAAAGTTCAACTGGCTGATGTTTTATTACATTTATCGATCACCGGCTCCCATTTCCAGTTGACCCTTTTACGGAGGCGTGTAATGGAACACCTTTTTAAACAAAACAGGAAAATATCTCTATTTTTCGTCCGGTGATCAATCAACTTATTCACTGAGGGACATTTCGAGGTGTCACTTACGCGGCACATGCATTAGCGAATTGCTGTTAAAGCATTTCATCCGGTAAAATGTTTTATCTATTATGTTCCACTGGGAAATGAGGCTGGTCTTATTTCTCCAAGAAACTGGCTTGATTTATGTGGTTGCGTTATTTCCATACTCCATCAATGGGTTTATTTTCAAACTGTTTCGACCCAAATATAAGCGGGCGGACCAATGGACTCGCACAACATCGAGGGGAAGGCCCGAAATGAATAGAAAATATTTGCGGGCCTTTCCATTAAAAAGTAAATTTTATTCCCGGGGTTATCGCATTTTGGGGTGCGCTTTCACGACGCATTTTATACTTCTTTTGATGTTTTTTAAACGAACGCCAGGGGAACGGGCATTCTGAATAAGACCGTTTACGCCAGAAAATCGAATAACTTCTGGATATTTACTTTGCTTTCGAATTGACTCGATGCTGCTGGCATGTGGATACCCAAAATGGAATGGACTTAGTCGGTGCAAAGCCAACGAAAAAATCGAGCATTTGTCCATCATTTGTATCCATGTGAATATAAAAGTGTTTTTTTTAATTGCCGATCCTTTTCCCCACTTGCAATGAAGATGTAAAATCAGTATGAGAAACGTTGAAAAACTCATCGAAAACATCCAAATTACAGACAAGCAAAAACCGGATTTGGCTTTGACATCGATGCAAATCACTAACAAGTAGACAAGACAAGACCATGCAGCAACGAAAAGCACAGAGGAAATTTCAATCAGAATCCACCGTCCATACGGGAAAATTCCATCCGCAACTCGATGGTGAATTTAAGGGCGGCGATTTAAAATAACAATGTATCTGGGTGGAGCGGTTGATATAAAAATGAGTTTTTTAAGGGTCGCGGATAAACAGGTTTACATTCGATTTGCTCCCTTTTACGAAAATACCTAGTGGATTTTATAAACATTTCCCCCCCAAAGTTATTTATTCGGATAGATGGCCGTGGTTGTATTTTTATAAAGCCAAGATAAATATTTCGTTTCGATGAGATTTGATTGGGCGAAACCTTAATGCAATTCACTGAAACAGATGAAATGAGCAAGTTTTACCAAATCCTGCATAGTGTTTCTGCGCATCCAAAGGCCAGTTTGTAGATTAGACTAGCGATTTTGACCCTTGAATAGTTGGGGGCCTGGAAATCCAATCTTGATTTGCTATTGCATTCCGACAATGACACTCTTCCAGTGGTCCCGACGGATTGTTTGATACTCTTTGTTTAGAGCGCTGTGAGCGAACGAAACGAATTCTCTTTGTCAATCTTTCCCTTTGGATCCGGGAATTAAAATACCTCGGACGGATTTATTGAAAATTCTTAGTTGCCGGGTTTTCTGATCGTCGAAGCTCCCCAATCCCCCCCCACACTCACACAGGGCTGGGCAATGCAAAAATCTACGGGAAATATTTATTTACAACATACCTAAGCCCTTGTGCTGACGTTAATCTCGATAAGTAGCTCCCAAACTAGCAGAAAATTGAATCCTCGACCCTGGCCATATTATGACAATATGAGCAGTCGAGATAAAAAAAAATAATAAAAAAACTGGCTGGTCCTCGATATTATAGGGTCATTACTACTTTGTAGATACGGCGAACAGGGTGCTTTTTCGCCCCGGAATGTATATGTATAGGAATAGGCGCTTTAATAAGGGCGATATTC